AGTTTGAAAGTTATGAGTGAAACTGGAGCTGTCGTCTAAGCTCTGGAATACAAATGGATTATAATTGTAAGGCTTAAGGATGTACTTGTAGTCCCCTGGATAAAGTTTAATAATAAATATTGTAATGTTTAAAGTGTTATAACTCTTTCACATTGGCTATGATCAAAACTAGCTAAAATGCAAACTCAACCAAAGGATTGAAGATATACAGTGAATTTTTGGTTTCTCTTCTCTCATAGTGGGGTAAGTAAACAGGTTGAAGAATTGCTTTGTTGAGGAACTTGTACAGTCGGCAGGATTCAGAATGATTACTGTATATTATTTAACAAACAAGTCGACTACTACAATACATATAGTACTATCGTGCACAAAAGTCGTGTCCACTACCCAGTCACAGTGAGGTTTCAAATAGCCTTGAGTCTGAAGTTTCGAAACAACTGGGGGAAATGCTATGGTCGGCAAACAGATGTCGCCCACTGTAGTGTGTGTGGGGGGAGGGGGATGGAGGAGGTGGGGGTTAGTCTAGTAACAGGCTGTGAGTAGGTGGAGCATAACATCGTGAAATCAATCACTCAAAACAATAAGAATGCCATGAAGATAGTTAATATTATTAAGCATGTGTAACGGGTAAATAAAAGCACTGCAACGACCAAATCTCTGCCGTTCATGGCTATGACGGTGCGAATGATGGGCTCACCAGTAATTAATTCTCCGTGACTACCAGTAATGGTAGTCACGGAGAATACACAAGTTGTTACCAAGGTTGGCGCCACCCACACCAGGGGAAGGAGGTGATATCGAACACTGAAACATGCTGAGGTCTCATTCTTACCATCGTCTTCACCAACAGGTAAGTCACATTAATTTGTCAGCATAGCCCATGTCGTCCTTATACTATTGCAAGGTGTCCCATGAGTGGCAGATATTTGTAGAGGTGAAAGTATATGTGATATTGAGTTGAAAATCTTCTATACACATAAGCATTTTTCGGTTGGCAAAAGTCCTGGGAAAATGAACCAACAAGTCATAAGCTAAAAATTATCAAATCATCAGTTTATCCTTGGTCATCATCAAAACAATCCTCTCGACATCACGAAACTATTCTGAATCGTCAAAGAATTGGGTATACGCGATTGACGCATGGCCAACTCATGTCTTCCCTTAATGGAGCCCCACCTATATGCACCAACTGCCGAACACAAGTAACAGTCCAACATATTCTCATTGAATGCCCTATTTATAATAGGTATCGAACAATGTGCTTCACTAACCCTACAATGTAAGATATTTTAGCAGAGACCCCAAAATTTTCCCTAAGTTCAGTTTTGACCTTTTTGAAATACTGTAATCTCCTCCAAATAATATAACACTAAATTATAGAAACACAAATATATGTAAACTAATCGCTCTGGCCAGCCCTAGGATGGACTCAAATGGGTGTCAGTGGTCTGGTTAAACTAAATCTTGATGATGATGAAGATGATTATCGGCGAATGTTCACTCTACAGCCGCAGGGGTGGTGGTGGAGGTTTGGGGGAGGGGGGGATCCACTTGCAGTTCACTAACAATACATGAAATGGGAAGGGTTTCTTGGACAGTTCATCCTAAAAGATTTACCAAAACGTTATGTCAGAGTAATAATACTTAACCTAGGTGTTGCTAATACCATTAATTTACTCTAGTATATAAAAGCCTGCATCAGTTACCACAACATAATATTACTCTGCCATTTCAGATATGCCTGCAGGACGAGCAAATTCGTCGGCAGTGATTGCTGAGCGAGGCCAAATCATCGGGATGTGGAGAGCGGGGACAACTGTGCCGAACATTGCTCTCGAAGTGGGGAGGACACCAAGATGATTAGGAGGTGGATCCGCCGGTGGGAGGAAGAGGGCTCAGTGGAGACGAAACCTCGAAGTGGGAGGCCACGAGTAACGTTGGCAAGGACGGACGCCATGATCGTGGCAGCTGCAACGGCATACCCAATGCGAACATCAGTGGAGCATACAAGAAATCTGGGCCTCAACTGCCATCACATGACGACGAGACGCCGACTTCATGAAGCCGGGATCGACTGCCATATTCCAGCTCACAAAGGGTGGCTAACACCTACTCACAAGGAGTGTCGACTCGGCTTTGCATTGGAACACCTTCCCCATAGAGAAGAATACTGGAGAACCATTTTGTTTACCGATGAAACAGTGTTCAGGTCAGTGGGAGCCGAAGCAAGGCAGTGCTGGCGGCCCCCCAACACACGCTACCATAAGAAAAACATTCAACATCACGCAGTGAGTGGTAGGGTGTCAGTGTCATTCTGAGGAGGGATGTGGGCACATGGGCCAGGTGAACTGGTCAAGATCAATGGCCGTTTCACTGGTGAGCAGTATGTAGACATCCTGGAGCAAGTGCTAATTCCTACAGTCCGGGCTATGGCAGTTCCAGCCCCCCACACTATCAGGCTGGTTCATGACAACAGTCCCATTCATACCAGCAACATAGTGAAGGACTACCTGCAGGATCACCCTGAAATTGAGGTCATCGACTGGCTAACACTAGGATGTGATATTAATCCGATTGAACATATTTGGGCCATGATGAAACGTGATTGGGATGTTGGGGAGCAGCGAACCTGTGCAGCAATAGAGGCCAAAGCTTACGACGTGTGGGAGAGTATACGTCGACGACCAGGGGTGTGCCTGAAGCTGGTCGACTCCATCCCTAATCGCCTTGATGAAGTCCTGAATGCAATGGGTGGCTGGACCAAATACTAAGATGTGCGTATTGGTGTATTGTTTGGATTTTAGTATTGTTTGTAAATGCAATTAATATATATTAACTCACCTACAGTGTTATCTTAAATCCATGTCCTTAATGATGTCTTAAACTATATCACATGAAAATTCATAACAAAGTAACTTAACAGCCACAAAATATGTATTGTGTGGTATACAATGATCTATATGACACGTCGTGGAATGTGTTGTCTTATAACACAATATAATTATATAGTTACAATTGCTACCATCATTGAAATGCTCATGATGTTCAGCACACAATATTAACGGTAACTGAGCACACTCCAAAATATATGAAGCTTGCATATTATGGTGGGGTGTTTAAACACTGGAACTTGGAAGAATTGGGACAGTCACCTAGATTAAGTCTGAATACTATTTTACAATACTGATAACTTTTCACTCCACTCTTTTTAACATAATTATATAATATTACATATTATCACAAATATTTATTAAACAAAGGATGGGTGGTATATAAATAAATATTACCATAATCTCTTTGTCGGAATAACAACAAAATTGTGACGTGGTCGCTGAGTAAAACTAGCTGACCAAGGCCCTTCACCCTGATCCTTGCATTTCACTTTTATCCTTAATATATTCCTTTCTTTAAAGTATTATTGTGACCTGAACGGCAATAAGCACCCAGGGCACTGCACCTGTTCCATGAATTCTTAACCATAAAGAAACAACTGTAAGACAAAACGTAGTTAAAAAGGCAGCTTGAAATTATGGTGGTATAAATAATAAATAAACCTGCCTCTCATCCAGCCCCCACCTCCTCTACCCCCCCACCCCCCACACACACACTACAGTGGGCGACATCTGTTGGCCGACCATAGCATTTCCCCCAGCTGTTTCGAAACTTCATACTCAAGGCTATTCGAAACCTCACTGTGGCTGGGTAGTGGACACGACTTTTGTGCACGATAGTACAATGAAGCATAAGACTATCTCATTCACAACTCATTCACATGCAGACCACAAAAGAGCAGCACTCGTACTGGAACAATACTGATACACACACACACACACGCACGTACACCTAGCAAACATCACACACCTCCCCCCCAAGACGTCAGGGGTGACATAGGAATCTCTGCCGTCTGAAGATCCCTCGTCACTGTACGTCTTAAGAGTCCCAACGTATCGTCAGGCGAAGTGGGTCCCATCGCTGTAGTCCAGAGCGGCGTAGGATGGGTGGTGACGCAGGTAACCCGGGACTGTCAGGACGCACTGTCGCAGTAGTGTGGTGTTGGCCAGCACCAGATGATGGATGCTCAGCCTCCGTGGGTGGCTGTCTGGATGCAGTGACATCCACTGGCATCATGGGACGATGCGGCCACTGCCCATCTTCACCAGATAGTCTCGCCTGGATCCGATGCCGACAATGACACCCAACCGTTCCCACCGTCCTCATGTGTGGTCCTGCACATCCACATATGACCAGAGCTGCAGTTTGAGGAGTTGTCGAGCTGCAGCATCGTGTCGCTCCTTGGCCTGTCGACGCAGATGTACAGCTTCACTGTCACATTCGTTTGCCGCACGTTGCCACTGCGCCGCGAATGCTCGATGATGTGCAGGAACAGATGATCATAGTGAATGTCCAAACAAGACCTGGGCATATGACCTCCTGTCAGCATGCGGGGTACTCCTCAATTCCAGTAGCCCACGTGCAAAGTCATCCTCGTCCAATCTGCCATTCCTTGTAGTGGTGCAGATTAATTTCTTTATGATCTTAACAGCTGCCTCTGCATGCCCATTGGCGCATGGGTTGCATGGGGACATGACCCAGTGTTCCACCCCCCACCGAGCCAGGAAACGACGGAGAATTGACGAGGTGAACTGCGGACCTCCATCTGTCCTCATGGCAACAGGCACACCAGTATCTGCAAATACAGAACGCAGGACACATACCAAATGGGCTGCAGACGCTGTTGTAGGGCAGGAAGATATGTACAGCCACCCAGACAGGCGGTCGACGTAGACGAGGAAGGAACGGCCGGCCACGTAGACGTAATCTGCAGACACTGATTCAAACACACGACTTGGGGGATCGTCATCTTTCCATAAGGGTTCATTCTGATGGCTAGGCAAGGGTGGTCAGCACAAGGAACAGGATGAAACTGCATTTTCTATGTCATGGTCGATCATTGGCCAGTATACAGTCTGCCGAGCTCGTCTCTTCGTCCTATCTACTCCCTAGTGCCCGTCATGCAGCCTCTCCAGTGTCTCACGTCGAAGGCTGCAAGGAATCAAGAGTCGTGAACCATACACAATGAGGCCGTCGTCCACAGCGAGTATGCTGCGAACGCCCCAGTAAGGTCGTAAAGAATATTCCAAATCCTGACAGTGCTCTGGGAATCCTCTCATGATGACATCACGCAGGGCGGCGTACTCTGCACCCCGGGCGGCAACAGCGCGCACCTTAACTAGCGGCTGGTCTAGTAACGGTGCCAGTCGGGTGCCCTCCTCGCAGACTGCACTGAGCGCAGACACTACAGCAGCGTGTAGAGGGTCCTCATCTTCCGGCTTCAGGACGTCGTTCTCTGCGGATGGATCCTGGATTGGAGCACGAGAGAGAGCATGAGGAATGCAATGAAAGTTAACCTTTTGCCAAAGGGCTGTGAAGCTGTAGATACAGAGCTTCTCACGCATACGCTGCAGCCTCGGATTCTCGATCTCGCCGAGGAGCTTCCTGCTGAGAATAGGCACCAGGGAACGATGATCCAGTGATAGCCCAGTGAGGTAGGTGCCACATCCGGACGTCCCACAATACAGCCGCCAACTCCAGCTCCACCACTGCATACCTTGATTCTGCGTCAGTGAGAAATCTTGACCCGCATTGTGTGAGCCTTCATTCCTCCTCATGCCACTGCCGTAAGACGAACCCGAGGCCATGCATCTTGGATGCGTCAGTCTCCAGCATGGTGGGTAACGCTGGATCGAAATGCGCCAAGACAGGTGGTGAGACCAACACTCGCCTAACTTCCTCAAAAGCCGCGTCATGTTAAGACGTCCAGCACCAGATATTGCGAGGCTTGAGAAGGTCCCTTAGGGGTTATGTGGCAGCAGCGACAGCAGGGGGAAAGCCTCCGAGTTGGTTGGAGAGTCCCATGAACGACCGGAGGTTGGTGATATTCTGGGGTAGAAGAAAATTGGAAATCGCCCTTACCTTTTTATCATCCACGGTATATCCTTGTCTCGAGATCGAGTAGCCGCAGTAGTCTATACTGGACGCAGCAAAGCGGAACTTCGCAGCGTTCAAAGTTATTCCAAATTTGTCGCACCGCTGCAGGAGAGAAATTACATGGGTTAGATGTTCGTTGTAAGAGCAGTCTTAAGCCAGGATGTCATCAACGATTTTCAAAGTCCGTGGCACACCTCCTAGGAACTGGTCTCCTCGGCTATTATACTCGTCCCCTGATGAAACGAGCCCCATAACCGCACGCTTGAATTTGAAACGCCCCCAGGGTGTTATAAAGCAAGTGAGAACCTGGTCCTCCTCTGTTATTCCGATCTGAAAGTATCCCATCTTTGCATCCATCGTTATAAACCATCTTGCCCCAACACCTATGGAAGCTATGGCGTCATGAGGCGAGCGGATGGGGTAGGTAGGTCGTAGAACAAACTGGTTAAGCCTAGTTAGGTCGACACACAACCTCACCCCAGATGGCTTCTTTGCAACTGGAACTATGGGATGACACCACTCTGTAGGATGGTCAACCAAGGCAATGACGTCCCTGGCCAGCAGGTCGTCCAGTTGTGCTCCGCCCGCTCAGCTGCTGTGGGGTTCTGTGGATATGGCTACCTAGGCAACACCACCGGCAGGCAGTCAGATGGCCCCAGGGTGACATCAGATGACACTGGGCCCCCTCGTTCCGCATCTGAAGTTTCTGATTTAGACTTGACTGGTCGAATCTGTGCCGGGAAGTTATCTGGCAGGATACCCAGGGCAATGGAGTCAAACCAGCTTAACAGCGCACCTTTCACCTCCTTGATGACGGAAACCGTGGTTGTGGTTGTAGTGCACCGGTCCCCCAGCTATAGGTTCGCTGAGAACGTCCCGAGACAAGTGAGTGGATGTTGCCCTGCAGCCCAAAGGTTCATACCACTGGTGGTTTGTTGCATATCCGGACGTATACCAAGGGAGCCTGCAACACAGAGTCCCAACACAGTGGCCTCTGCCTCAGAGTCCGGAGTCCACTTGACCTCTTCACTCCCAGCAGGATGAGTTGTGTGAACCCAAACCTTTGGCGCTGGACGCGACTGAGCACTGTTGAGGTATACGTCTGTTATGAGCAGGTGCACCTTCTGATTCGTCGGTCTCAGATTCACTTTCTTCGATCGTATTCGAGGAGCCGACCTGCACACCGACGCAAAGTGCCCCTTCTTATTACATAGCAAACATACCCGATCCAGGGCTTTGCAGGCCATCATGTCAGTGTGACGGTCTTTCCCACATCTGTAACACTGTTTGGGTTTAGCAGAGTCGGGACGATGTGACCGCCGGTCTCGTTGATACTGCGACACTTTGGCCAGAGTGGGCATAGTAAACCCTCGTATCTCAGCGCTGTTTGCGTGAGCGTTTTCAGAAGCTCTACAAATGTCTACTGCTTTCTATAGGCTTAGGTCCTTCACCTTTAACATACGCTTCAGGGTCTTCTCATCACGGGTGCCAACAACCACTCTGTCTCGTATCCTGTTGTCCATACACACATCACAAAAATCACAAAAGGCGGCTATCTCCTTGATGCTGCACAGGAAATCCTCGAAGGACTCTCCTGCCACTTGAACGCGGGAATAAAAGTCTCTCCTGTCAACAATGACGTTACGCTGGCGTCTTAAGTGGGCCTCCGTGGCGTCGAGCGTTGTCTTGAGATGCGCCCCATCAGCCACAGCAAGTCCATACCTCAGTGTTCTTGTCCAATCGTCGTCCAGCAACGCCACTAAAGTCGATCTCTGCTGATCAGGAGGTAGATAGTGGATCTTGGTAAGCTTCACATATCCCTCGAACTTATGCCGCCAGGCATCAAACTCCCTCACGGAGGCGGAAGACGAGAGGTGTGGTGCAAGAGTCGCACTGTGAGGTAACTTGACATGGGGATGAGCTGCATCTGGGTCGCCTTTGACCCGCGGTGTAGCGCTCCCTCCCACATCAGCACTGTACCGTCCACTTGTCTTGAGCTCGCCAGTCCTTCCAAGACTGTGGTCAGCATTCCTCTCTCCTGTGTGCTTCCTTCATTTGCCTTGCGATGAGCGCTGTCAACTGCTGTGTCGTGATGTTGTAGTAGGCCACAGACGGTAGTAGGTGAGGCAACTAGCAGCAGATCCTACCCACTGCGCCATGTTTGGTTTCTCTTCGCTCATGGTGGGGTAAGTAAACAGGTACTTGAAAAATTGCTTTGTTGAGGAACTTGTACAGGTGACGGCAGGATTCAATACATATAAGGAATGGAAACTGTCTCATTCACTATAGTACAATGAAGCATGAGACTATCTCATTCACAACTCATTCGCACGCAGACCACAAGAGGGCAGCACTCGTACTGCAACACTACTGATACACACACACACACACACGCACGCACATACATCTAGCATACATCACACAGTGTTAAAGCAAATTTAGTTAAAGTATAATTATGTATGGCGAAAGTAGGGCATAAACAATAAGGTGAAAACGACGGACTCGGCTCTGCATTATCCCAGCTGTGCCGGTGGTGGGAGGATAATAAAAATCTACACCGTCAGCTTACACTATCCATTAAATTACACTCACCCTATACTGCCTCTTAGCAGTCTTTCTGTTTTACTGTGTTTGTTGTAAATTTGGAGTTTGTTTGGTATTGTGACGAGGAACAATGCCTCCGTGGTTTTTATTTGTCGTTGAAAATTATATTTATTTTATGCAACGTTTAATTAAATGAAAAACTCGAATGACTGCAGGCAAATTAACTAATTTCACAGCAACAAACGCAGACCCAGACTTTCAAACGAACTTTATTTCCCCTGACACATTCTTAGAAATGTTTGGATGCAAGTTTACCCGTTCCTCATATATTGATTCGAATACAATAACGAAATTGTTGTTCTACATTAATACAAAATCCATTTTTAAATACCTTAGCGAATTATCACCGACGTCTTTCCATGAAATTTTGTATTCAGATTCAAAGTGTGACATCTTTAATAACAGAGGTGCACCTTTCCCGTCTCTCTCACCATGCCATGTCTTATGTAAACACTTGCGATTTATAACAACAGTCTCTATTGTAATTGCTCTCGTTTACACTGCAACTCTGAACAATGGAAAAACCCATCCCCTCTCTGAACTGTGATACTCCCTTCCTTTACATTCTGTCACATTTTATTACTTTCAATTTTCCCTTTCAGGAAGGAATTCTAAATACCATTTGTCCAGGTAACTGGATGTAAAAGTGAAAAAGTATATAAACACAGAAAAAAATAATTGTCGCAGCAGCAGCAGCATTGAGTGAGTGGGCAGGCAGGGCGGCTACACTTGACCGTCTCCCCCACACAGTCCATCAGCGTCCAGTGTTTTGTCATGAGGTACAGGCTATAACTGCCTGTTTACTTTGATCCACACACACACACACACACACACACACACACACACACACCGGTTGTTTCACTTCTGTTACATATATCAAATCATTAAACTATATTTTATCTATTTTTAGTCCTTTCCTTTTTTCATACTTTCATTCATGGCCATTTGTTTCTAACTAAACGTTTTCTTTACCCCAAAAAATGAAGAGGAAAATGTATATCAGAGTTTCAATTTATTTTTTCGATATGAATTTTACCATTTATTTTTGTGTGTATTCATGTGGCTCAATTAGTTTGCCATATGCCTCGTGGTCACCATGGCAGGTATGATTTTTTCCTAAACAAATTGCCGAGTATTTTTTTATGTAGGATTTTTATTCTTATTAAAATGTCAATCGAATGACTTATCATACGTAAAAAGGAAAAGAGTTTGTTATTTTTGTTATAACCCTATTGGATATAATGTATTATATGTGGTGAATGTGTATTATGTATTATATACACATTAGTTTGACTTATTACATAAAACAGTTAAATTGTGGTTATAACATAATTATCACAAACATATATGGAAATAATCGTTCTAGTGCAATTATTCCTAAAACGTATGAGAATGCTAAATGTTCACAGTATCTTTAGTACATTACACCCCAGAGGAAACAGTCGTGTTTAAATATGCTACTGCTGAGTAACTTATTGACATGACGATCAGGACGATTAGAGTGATAACCTGAGATTAAAAAAAATGAACTTCAAGGTCTGGCGGTTTATTATGGATAATGGGAACACATTATACTGTCTTTTTTTATGACAAAAGGTGACATTGTGGCCGGCACAACACTCCACCCATTCACAACTGGGTGGACTGTAGGACAAGAAAAGAGTGTTGTATCGACTTGACCACCGCAGCCCTTACATTGTACTTTGTTGCTCTAATTTAGTTATTTTAAGGAATTATCCTGACTATTTTATTATTATTATTATTATTATTATTATTATTATTATTATTATTATTATTATTATTATTATGATTATCATTATTATTATTATTATTATTATTGTTTTTATTATTATTATTATTATTATTATTAACAATATATCTCAATTTCCTTTCAATTCTCTTTTGTTATATTGTTTAAGGTTATTTAGCTTTTGTTTGGTATTTGATGTTACTCAACGATTACTTTTTGTTTATCTTTGATTAGCATTTTGGCATTTTGTCCTCATTTGATTAACTTGTGTTTGGTGTTTTGTACTATATTACCTTTTGCTTTGTCACCTTAATTAGCCTTTGATCTACTGACTAAGGCTTTGTCGGTTCTTGTACT